TTTGCAGAGCCCAAACCGGAAGCACTTATAGCTCCTCCCATTCTCTAAAGGGCGGAGAGCGCCGCCCACTCGGGGTCTCCCTGCCTGCCTATCCACCCCGCCCCCCCAACGCCGGTCCTGAGTGGGATGGGCAGCTGGGCAGCGAGTCCCGTTGCTTCTTTGGCAGCCGGAGAAACAGCAGGGAGAGGGAGGGGACGAGGCCCAGGGACGGGAGGAGGGAAGGGAAGGGGATGTGGAGCGTTAAAGTTAGAAGGGAATCCCCCTTTTGGAAGGAAAGTGGAGTAGGTAGGAAAAGGAGGCTGCCTTCTCCACTGAGTCTAACAGGGCAGCGGTCAACTAACACGTCTCCTCAAATGACGTTCACGATTTATGCCATAATAACGAATAATGGCTGCTTAGCAAGTAGTCCTCAAGTTAATGACCATCATTTAGTGGCCCTTGGAAGCTGCAACCACCCACCAAAAATGGACTTGTGTCCGTCACTCGCGCTAAAGACCATTGTAGACTCCCCCTGGTCATGTGATCCAAATTGAGACACCTGAGAACTGAATCACATTCATGACCCTTGTAGAGTCCAGGGGTCACAGGATCTCCTCTTGCGACCCTCCCGCAAGCAACGTCAATGGGGAAACCAGATTCACTTAACAAAAGTTTGTGGCTGACTTGTGCTTGTAAGTCAATTACCTCTCCAAAATATTTCTTTTAGTTCAGCAGCTCCAAGCCTAATGAAGCTGCTTCCAGTTGGCAGAGAGGAGGATCCTGGCGGATTCCCCATTTCCCCCTCAAGAATTGAGCTTCAGGAGTGGCTGAAAGAAGGGAATAAGATCCTTCTGAACTCAAAGGCACTTTTGGTTTTCCTCACCTTTCCTGTTCCAGGCACTTTGCCACATGTGCTCAGCCTCAAATTGAAAACACTGAAGACAAGATTGTAAGCAAAACTTTATTCCACAGAAAAAGTAACACAAGGAAATCTCCCTGGAAGCCTTTGTACCCCACCAACACCCACTGGAGGGCTTTACACAGCATTTGCCAGTTTACACTTTTCAGAGTCAGAAGGAATTTCTTCACCTCCCTTTACAGTAATTCCTGCTTTACACTAACATCTTCGCCTTCCTACATACATCATCCAGAGCTCAGCCAAGCTATTTAAAGTCATCCTAACGTGTTCACAGGGAAACCGCAACACTTCCATAAATGTCGCTTAGCTTTCCGTGACGCTTCCTGTTTTTCTACTGGACTTGGTTTCTCCTTGAAGACCTCACCACTTAGATTGCAATGTTCCCTCTTGAAATATTTCAGCATCTTCTCTAGACTCTAAGCCAGCTTTCTGCAGTCTTACGTTGTCTGAAGGTGTTATCCCAAAGGTGCTTTTCTTCAAAAGTCAGCTGGACTTTCTTTCTCCTTGAAGACATTTCACTTCTTACTCAAGAAGAAAGAGAACTGAAGAAACTTCTTGGATGAGAAGGGAAATCTCCTCAAGGAAATAAAAAAGTCCAGTTGCCTTTTGATAAAAGCACCTTTGGGAAAACCGTAGCCTGGATGATTGACAATCTCCATAGCCATCCGGAAGTGTTAGTTCCCAAATCCCTCCCTCCCTTTGCTATTTGCATTGACAAAAGTTGATCATTTGTTGTATGTTATGTACACTTGAGAGCGTATGCATTGGAGACACACACATTGTATGTCCAATGACACTTGGCCAATGAGATAATTCCCTTCTTATTTCTCATTTCTATATTCTATTCCATTTCTATTTTTACTGTTTCTAATTTTTTTCTACTCTACTCCAGCACAAAGATCTACTATCCAAAAGTTAATTCCTAGTTCTACAAGGGAACTCTTCTTTTTAATGGATCAAGACATTTCTGCTGCTTCAGAAGCCCTTCCCACACTCCATGCATTTCTCCAGAATCTCCTGCAAAACCTCTATGGACATAAAGCAAATCAACACAAACCAATTCACATCATCTTTCCCTGCTATGCAACTTCTTATGTTGATTAAACTCACTCCTGGTTCTGAAGCTCTTTCCACATTCCACACACTGATACGGTTTCTCCCCTGTGTGGATTCTTTTATGGAGCCTTAGATTCCTGCCGTCTTTGAAACTCTTTCCGCAGTCGATGCATTTAAACGGTTTCTCCCCTGTGTGGATCCTATTGTGGGAGGTAAGACCGCTACTATCACAATAACGTTTTCCATACTCCAGGCATTTATAGGGTTGCTCCCGAGTGAAGCCTTCTATGGCTCCTGAGTGAATTATTTTGACTAAAGCTTTTTCCGCACTCATGACATGTATACGGCTTCTCCCCTGTGTGGATTCTTTTATGGAGCGCAAGATTCCTGCTGTCTTTGAAACTCTTTCCACATTCGATGCATTTAAACGGTTTCTCTCCTGTGTGGATCCTATTGTGGGAGGTAAGCTGGACACTCATACGAAAACATTTTCCACACTCCAGGCATTTATAGGGTTTCTCCCCTGAGTGAACTCTTCTATGGATCATGAGTGAACTAGTTTGACTAAAGCTTTTTCCGCACTCATGACATGTATACGGTTTCTCCCCAGTGTGGATCCTCATGTGGATACCAAAGCAATCACTTCTTCTGAAACTCATGCCACACTCCGTGCACTTATAGGGTTTCTCCCCTGTGTGAATCCTTTTATGGATTGTCAGTGCTCCAGAATCACTGAAACGTTTTCCACACTCCTGGCACTGATATGGTTTCTCCCCAGTGTGGGTCCTGCTATGTACGACATAGCTTTTTTTTTCACTGAAGCTCTTTCCACACGTGTGGCATTCAAATGGTTTCTCCCCAGTGTGGAGCCTTTTGTGACAAGTGAGGGCCGCCGAGTTAGTAAAGTTTTTGTCACATTCAGTGCATTTATAAGGTTTTTCACCTGTGTGGGTCCTTTTATGGACAGTAAGACTATAGGATGTAGTGAAGCATTTCCCACACTCGGTGCATTGATACGGTTTCTCTCCAGTGTGGATTCTTCTATGGGAAATTAGAAAGTCGTATTTATGGAAGCTCTTTCCACACTCCAGGCATTTGTATGGTTTCTCCCCTGTGTGGGTCCGTTCATGGACATGAAGGCCAGCAGAACGGGCAAAGCGTTTTCCACACTGCAGGCACTGAAATGGCTTCTCCCCTGTGTGGATTCTGTGATGGGCAGTAAGTTGTGCAGAGCAATGGAAGCTCTTTCCACACTCCATGCATTGAAATGGTTTTTCTCCCGTGTGGATCATCTCATGTGACTTAAGACAAACTTTTTGACTGAAGCTTTTTCCACATTGCAGGCATTTATAAGGTTTCTCCCCTTTATGCCTCCTATTATGTAAGTTTAGAGCACTGCTTCTGCTAAAGCTTTTTCCACACTCCAGGCATTCATAGGGTTTCTCCCCTGTGTGGATCCTCTTATGGGAAGTAAGAGTACCTGAGGCACTGAAGCATTTTCCACACTCTGTGCATTTATATGGCTTTTCTCCAGTGTGGATCCTCTTATGTGAATTGAAATGGCCTTTTTGAGCGAAGCTCTTTCCACACACCGTGCAATGATACGGCTTTTCCCCTGTATGGGTCCTGTTATGGCTAGTGAGGCCACTTGCAAAGCGGAAGCTGTTCCCACATTCTAGGCATACATATGGTTTCTTCCCAGTGAGGCTTTTTTTCTGGGAATTCGGTTCCTTGCCCTCCCTGCATTGATGCAACCTCTCCTCTCTGTGGAGGCTTTGATGGGAAGTAAGGGAGGTGCTGGTCCCGAAGGTCTTTCCACAGGGGATGTTTTGATGCTGCTGCTTCTCTTTGTGAACACTCTGATGTGAATTAAGATGTTTTTTCTGCCTGAAGGTCCTTCCACAATCCAGACATATGTGTGGATCCTCTGCTTTGTGAATCTTGTTATGCAATGAAAGGGAGTGGCTTGTACCGAAGCTTTCGGCACATTCGGTATATTTGTATGGTTTCCCTCCTTGTTCTATTCTTTCATGTAAAGGAGGAGGACGGCTTCTTCTTGAGTGTTGTCTGCTTTCATCTTGTTTCTCTCCAGCAGGGCTTTCACCACAGTCACATAATCCAGATTCATCTTGGAGTATTTTCCCACACCTTGAACACACTTCTTTTTCATGGCAATCATCTGTGTCCAACAAGACATTGATATTTTCACATTGTAAACTAGAACAATTCTTCAGCTCCCCTGTTATCTGGTTTTCCTCCAAACTTTGCTTTCCATACATTTTTTCTCCAATTTCCTTTTTGTGTTTTGGCAAAGGTACTTCTGCTTCTTGGCCAGAATCCTCCATCTCCCATCTGCCACCTGCTTGCAACAATAAAAAAAGAAAAGTTAACACAAATTTTAGTGCAAAAGTGATCAAGCACCATTGCTCTATTTGAACAGTATCAAACTTCTTCCAAACTCCCATTTGTTCAAAACATGATGCTATACTTGGTATTAATGTGGGAAACAGAGTTGTCTTGTTTTTACAGAATTGTAAAAAGACATGTTGGCCTGTGAACAAAATACACTGTATATGTTTCTTATCTCATGAACTAGGCTGAAGCTTGTACGTAGGACCTAGGATTAGAGGCCTCTGCTATGCTGGAATCCAGCCATAACCAGAATTCATTGATATGATAGTTACTCTAGAGACAATCCCTGGGAACCAGGACCATCAAAGAAAATTCATAAATAAGGGTAGTGGGAGATGGAATTAAGAGTAGTGGGAGATGTAATCAGGGGCGGAGATAATGTATTCACTTTAGACACTTTGGATAGATAGATAGATAGATAGATAGATAGATAGATAGATAGATAGATAGATAGATGATAGATAGATAGATGATAGAATAGATAGAATACTTTATTGGCTAAGTGTGATTGGACACACCAGGAATTTGTCTTGGTGTAAATACTCTCAGTATATATAAAAGAAAAGATTCATTCGTCAAGAGTCGAGAATCATAAGGTATGACACTTAATGATAGTCATAGGGTACAATAAGCAATCGAATCATACTAGGAACCAGTCAGTATAAATTGTAAGTATACAAGTGACAAAGTACACAAGCGACATAGGTTGTGACATCATTACTAAGCCAAGAAGAGGTGGGAGATAAATTGGTAATGGTACTAGAGAATATAAGGCAAATATAGGGGTTTCTGGTGACGTCACGTCATGGCGGTGCAGGAGAACTTTGCTCTCCTGCATCGGGTTTTTTACCTTTGGATAGCCGTGGTGTGGTCAGATCCCGGAGGGATCACCAAAGTGAGGAGGAACTCTTGGAGTCTAATTGGGAGTTGCGATCCCGAAGCAGCAAAGAAGAGAGCCCGAAGTCCAACGCAAAAGAAGTCAGCTCATTGCGGGCAGACCTAAGGACGCGACGAGTCATCAAAGAAAGAAGCAGTGAGGAGATAGTGAATTGAGATTTGGCAAGCTACCGGTATTAGAAACGTTTTGTGGATTACAACTGGAGTACTGCTTGAAGAAGAACTGCTTGTAACATTGAAATTCAGAGTGGAAGGGGTGGAGGTGAAAAGTGGCGGCATCAATCTAGCTTCCCACCCCCAACGCTGGAAAACAGTGGAAATACTATTTTAAAAAGAAAACTGAGAAGGAGAGCCAAGTAGACATTGCTGGAAAGACCCTTCTGTTATTAACTGTTTGAAGTGAGACCGCTGAATTTACTCTGTCTGAGAAAGGGATCTGGACAGAACTTTAAGAAAGCCTTGAAGAGTGACAATGCAAACTCTGGAGGTGGCCATTGAGAGTGGCAAACTATGGTAAATTGTATCAACGTAACTGGAAGTGACTAATAGAATTGAGAAGGGAACGAAACTGATACAAAATAAGTCAGATAAATGTTTATTATATTGTTCCTACAATTGTATCTAATATTTGAATAGATTTATTTATTTATTACTAGAATATTAAGGTAATAGTAAGATATTAAGAGACCTTATACCCGTCTCCCTCCTGAAGTTTCTATTCTTTTGAATTTATTGGATTTGGAAAGCTTTATTTTATATATATTTATCTTATATACTTAAATAATAAGAGATTAATATTGATTATTTTATATAGAAATTGGCTTGGAGAGTGATAATTAATTTCTCTAATTTGTATTCCCCCCTCTTTTCCTTTTATATATATATATATATCTGATCTATTGTAGATTAATGAATTTAATATATTGTTTAGTATAATGACAATTTAAACATTTGCTCCTTCTTTCTCTTTCTTTTCCCCTCTCTTTGTTTGATATTGTGGACTACTAAGACTTAAGAACTGTTAATTTGAACTTTGAATTTTATACACTGTTCAGAAGAGCAATAGACAAAATACTACAACAACCTTGGCTATAATATTATGGATCATTTGCTTATTTGATTAACTTGATTAACTACCAGATAATCTGAGACCTGATATTAGATTATATTCATTAAGATTTATTAATACCTTAACCTATTGCTAATAGAGAAGCTAGACTAATATTGATCAATTTGCTTCCGAGAGATTTATAACGTGGATTAACTGATAATTTTTAAAGCTAGTAGAGACAGAAAATTAATCTAATCAATTAAATAACAATGTAAATCTCTAATTAATAGGGAAAATTAAAAATCTTAAACCATTGATAAAGTTGATGGTAATTGGTAATATGATTTGGGATAATATAACTAAAAAAGTAGATGAACAATACAAAATTATTAAAGATATGACTAGCAGCACTACCACCATCATGAAAACTGGGAGAAAATCTGTACCAATGGTAGCACTAACTAGTCCCACAACATCGACCCAACAAACGATCGAAGGGATGTTGGCCCCGGAGAAATCAAACACCTCAACTGGCACCCAATCGGTTCAAGCTACCTTGGTGGCAATTCAAGGAATGATATAAGCACTACAGGAGTCGATGTCAAAAAACACACTGAAAGTAGAGCTGATAGGGAAACAATGAAAACAGAATTGAAAAATGAAATAGGGGAAATGAAAGTTGAAATTAGGAACCTGGATGGAAAAATAGGCCAGATTCAGGAATCCATTAGGATAAATGAAGAAAAAAATCAGAATAATTGAAGAACAAGCTAATCAAACAGAGAAGAAATTAGAACATATTGGTCAAAAAATTACTGACCAGAATAAAGAGACAGAAGAGACCTTAATCCGTCTCGAGATGGACAGAGCCTCCTAACTAACTTAGATTTCAAAATGTGGAGGAAGATAAAGAAGAAAACTTAGCACTGGTAATGGCTGAAATGCCAGCGGAACTCCTACAAAGAGATAAAAACGAGATAGTAAATGAATTGGATGATGTGTATAGAGTTCACACAAGCTACGCGAGGTGGCACAGACTCCCTCGAGAAGTCCATATCAGGTTCGTTAGGAGGCAAGGACATAATTTACAGAATTTCAAGAGAAGAAACAATAAAGTATAAAGGTAGAGAAGTAATTGTGCTGAAACAAGTGCCAAGAAGAGTCCGGGAGCAGGGGAAAGACTATCGATTCCTCACTAACTATCTTAATTAAAAAAAAAATCTCTTTTAGATGGATCACTCCAGAGGGTATTTTGGCAACATGGAAAGAGAAGAGAGTGAAAATAGACAGTTTAACCAAGGCACAAGACTTTTTTGAACAAATAGGTGGATTAGAAGAGGAATTTAGTAGTAGAGGTGAGCCCAAGGCTTCAAGCCAAGAAGAATCACAACCTATAACTAGAGGGAGGGAGAGGGAGAAAGAGAAGGAAAGAAGGGAATAAATAGCTGCCCGAGAAGAGATAGGAGTGAGAACCAGGAGTCAAACAACGTCAGACCTAACGAGGGATAAAAACTAGACTAAGGGTAAATGGAAAGAGGATTGAAACTAATATCTATGAACATTAATGGACTAAATGACCCATCTAAGAGGAAAAGAATATTTTTTAAATTAGAGAAACAGAGAGATGATATAATTTGTCTCCAAGAGGTTCATATTAAAATGCAGGATCAGAGATACTTACAAAATAAAAAATTGGGGAAGAAAAAAAAAAGATGAGTTGTACTATATATTAAAGAGGAAATAACTTCAAAATTGATACAATTGGGAGAATATTAATGGTAGAGGTGGTCACTCAAAATAAAAACATTCTATTGGTGGGGATATATGCCCCCAATAAAAATCAGAATGAATTCTATAAAATCTTATGAGAAATTGATAGAAATTGGCAACCCAAAAATTTGTATATTTGGAGACTATAATGCAATTACAAATAACAATCAAGACTATGAATGTGAACAAAAATATCAAAAAAAGGAATATATTGCCCAAATGCTTTTTTGAGATGGCCGAAGAATTAGAACTAGTGGATGCTTTGAGGAAGCTGAACCCAGGGGTGACTCAGTTCACTTTCTACTCCAATCTGCATAAATCGTGGTCCAGACTAGATATGGCATGGGTAAACAGTGACTTACTTAAGGAGATTCAGGACATAAAGATTTTAACTAACACTTGGGCAGATCACAACCCGT